TTCTCCAAACCCTAATGTACTTACTCCTCATAACAATTAACCATTACTAAACTGGTTTTAAGTATCACAAACAAAAACCTTAAGCTTTAGAATCATCTGCATTACTAACAGAAAGGTTTCATTGTGTCCAAAGACTTTTATTTTTATTTTCCATGTTCATCTCCACAATTATAAAATGTACAAAATCTACAAAAAGTGCCTTGAAACAACTTCAGCAATGCTTTCCATAATGTCCTTCCAAGCAATGGTAAGGCTAAGTGCCTGCCCTTTAAAACGGAGTGAAAGTGAAAGTGAAAGGTGGTTGGATGGCTCATAAAATTGTACCACAAAAATTTTTACTAATTCCATACAAACATTTTTAGAGACAGTTTATGCTTGAGGATTAGAACACATGAATTCCATTAGTGTTCGGTAAGCGGATTAAATAATTTTTATTTATTTAAAATTGCATGCTTTTTGGCGCATAACATTCCGTGTTTACACATATTTTAAACATTTATAAGCTTATTCGAGTTCAAAAAAAAAATATTTTAGAATTGCAGAAACATACGATTTTCTAATAGAAAACATAAATTTTATACGCAGCTTAACAGTTTTCAAATCTGTTATGAAAGAATTTAAGTGAAGGGCAAAGGTGCCTAAAAGCGTGCAATATTTTGTTCATTTCTTTTATTTTCACAAAGTATAAAACTAAATACATATATATGAGCATTAAAAGTTTTTACGCAATTTATGTTTAAGGTGAGAAAATACCAAATGTCAGTTGCAGACAGACAATCAGTAAAACAGCGCTCTATACGCACAAACAAACAGACAGACAGACAGACATTTAAATTGTAGTAAAAAGTAGCAGAAGAATTATTGCACTTGTACCAAAAAAGGTAGTAGGTAGCGTATCGTTAACTGAATTATTCATAAAGCTGCTTTAGAAAATTTCAAAAGAAATTTTTCTTGTTGGATGCGGGATTTTACTTTTCCCATTCCGCATGTGCCGTACCGCCAGGAAGGCAATGGAATTGCTACTAAAATTCAATTGCACGTTTTACTCAGACACCAAAAATTTATTTCGTTATTTTTAGTTGCATTAACGAAAATCTTTTTTCTTGGGTGCATTTTCTATTTTGTATTTTGAGCATGAATGATTTTGGATTTGTATCTGAATTTTTGTTTTGGTTTTGGAAATATAGTGAATTCTTTATTCTAGAATATACAATTCTTTTGCTTTTATAAATTAAGTATTGTTTTAAAATTTAAATATAAGATATGTTTTTTTTTTGCTCTGACTCATCTATTACCATTTATTAACGCTTTTACTGAATGTGCTAACATCATGTCGGATACTAATATAACTACTTGAATAAAAATAATGAATACTAATAATTCCATTCACTACAATCAACAGAAAGTTTAAGACATGTGATATATATCTAAACGAAAATGCAGAGAACTATAGTAAGTGTACTAGCTTTGTCACAACAGTAAGTTATTTGATTGTATTCATACCCAAGGATATCATCTGAAAAATTTCCAACACTATTCCATCACTTGTTTGGTCTCATGACCACTTGGAAATACTAATTGAAGATTTATTGAGCTGTAAACCAAAACAAACCCGCGTGTTTTCATATATAAAATAGGCTGATCTAAACATCTGAATATATCCAAAACTTCAGTAAAATTTTAAAGAAAATTAGTGAATAAAATGCAGAAAACTTTTTTAAACGGATTCCCACAGCAAGCATCTAAGCAGTACCTGGTAATATAATAAGTGACTACCTCCAATGGTTTTGTATCTGATGGAAACCAAAAAAAATCTTAAAACAAGTAGAAACTTTGAAGACTATAGCAACATTCTAGATAGTTGGATAACAAGACACGGCTAGATAAAATATATTGAAAACAATGAGGACTATAACTCCGAACTGACAGCCGAACTACTCGCTGAAGAAGAGTACAAGGAAACTAAAGCAGTACATCGTCCGAATTATATCTTCAAGACTGGCTTACACTAAAACAAAATTATAGCATTCAATTTTCTCATATCCGTAATGCTTGATGCGATGCATGCGATGAGATTAGATGCACCCTTTAGCTCTCTCCAGACAAAAAGTAAGGTTCTTGAGGAATTTCTACTTTGAGAAATTTGCAAAGCCGTCACATATGGCTGAAAATATGATGAAATTTTCATGTGGTATCACAATGGACTTTTGTCCTGAGTTCAAAGCTTCTTGCTAAGTTCTGCCACTTTTATTGTTCCTTTCTTAAGGTTTATGAGATATCTGAGCAAACTGAAGAACTTGTCTCCCCAATTTTTCACTAATTAGAACAAAAATTTTATGAGATTGCTCAAATCTTAAAGATAAACATGAAGCTAAAGATAAAAGATAAAGATAAAGGATACAGTTAAAGTAAAGATAAAATATGAATATAAAGGACAAAGATAAAAAATAAAAGATAGGGACAAAGATAAGAATAAAAGACAGACATAAAAGATAAATGTAATAGATAAAGATAAATGATAAGAGATAAAGATAAAAGTGAAGAATTACGATAATAATGGACTACGGTGTAATATTTGTTAAAGTCCTAAAATTGGTTTTATATATTTTCCTCTATTACCAAATTTTTTCGCCAAGCCAACAACTTTAAAACTATCTTAGGAAATCGGGGAAGTATTTTTGATGACTACGCCTTTCTCACTTCGTCAAGTATATTTTCATGAGTAAATAAATACTACACTTAACCAAATTAAGTAAATACAGGATATGTTTCATAGGTAAAATATGATTTTTAGTCAAAACATTGGTCAGTCAGTTAATTAATTAAGTAATTAATTAGTAGTTAATCAGTCAATTTGTCTTGAACACACTTGAGTTTGGTTAAAATGCAATAATTTATAAACTATATTATGGGATAGGCATTATCAATTGAAGCGTTTTGATTTTATTTTTTAAATTTAAAAAAAAAGATTTTTAATTTGATAATAATTCTTATATCGATAACAAAAACATATCGTAATTTCCGATGCAAAACTACACTTGTATTCGTGCATATGACATGCAATTTCGACAGTACATCAGTAAATGGTCTCCCTTATCGACTGTTTTAATTAACACTAGTTGATCCACTTTAAATACCTACAATTAAGTGTTTGAGTTACCTTGGACTCTACATTCAACTAGAAACGTATTT